AAGGACCCATGGGTCACAACGAGCAATGCTTATTCTAAAGCGAACAAGGTCGCCAGTTAGCGGAATGGTAGGTACTTAACCCTATCCACAGAAAAGTTTGAAAAGTATCCATGTGTCAAGTACAATCGTAACGTTAATGGTATTTTGTGCAGTATGTGTACGAGTCATCCTCGGGCAGGTAGCAAATCGCCATTTATATTTGATGAAGATCTGATAGGTTTAACTGGATGCCTGCCAGAAGACGTCAGATTACATCGTTCATGCAACCGATTTTCAAAAATTTTCTCGGGGAAAGGCCTACGCCCCCCCCCTCAATTCAGGGGAAAAGACCCCCGCCCATCGGACGTATTGGCGCCCTTGTCTGTAAATGTATTAAAATTTAGGTTACATTAATGCAGATGTGTTAAATGACGTTTTCTGTGTATGCATTTTCAGATTCTGTTAATTGATCTTTAATGCGTAATACCGACTTATACGCATCAACAAGTAAAGTTTTGAAAGTTCTTGCCGGTAGATCCTCATAAATATTTCTGAAATATATTTCTTAAGAGGTTACCACTTCATTAAGCCAATTAATTTGAAAGATTTCTAGTTATAGTAAGAATATCGTGTTCACTAACATTGTACTTTTACAACCTGAAATTTGACTACCGTTTAATTAAATACCAATAAATAAGGGACTGTCTCGCCAACCTGGAGTTCGATGCAGGTGTTGGATTTTTCTGCCTAGTTTTCCCTTGTCGGTACCTAGTCGTTTGGGTTGTACGAAAAATTTACAGCGTATTCATTGGCATACACGTAATCCTTTTGCAGAAATGTAAGGCGTTAAATCTAATTTCATGGATATGTTTGAGTTTATAATAAATACAAACCAATGCACAGAATATATTTTTAACATTGATAATTGTATTATACATTTTTAAAAATATAGTAGTTATCTCCCATGACTTGAATAAACTATATTTTAATAATAAGTCAACCGAAACATGTTCTGAATAATATTCTCACGAGAACGTTGATACAACAGTTATTTCCCCTGCATCAATAATAGCGAGAAAAGATTAAATTCACGCACAACGAAATTATGCTTAAATGAGCTAAATCGCTAATATTTGGGACCTAGAAATTGACACAAATGGGTCGCAACGCATATAATAATGTAATATCAATATATATATAAACTGATTTACTTCAATCGTTTCCATTTTTACGCTAATCTCAAATCAGTTATGTTCGGCGATATACAGCAGAAGTCTCAATCGAATGACAATATCTAGTGTCTGGTTATTCCAGTCTACACCGATAGTATTTATTGCGCATGCTCTCTAATCACGTGATTGGCGGATGTTTGTGGTTTATTATTGTTTATGTTTTAAATTACATATTATATGAGGGCGCCAAAACCTTTTAAGTGAGTAGGGCCTCTGTGGGTCTCAATCCGGCACAGAATACGACGTCACCGTTTGACATGACTTGTGGAATATGTCTAGCATCGTTCTTCGAGTCCCTTGTTATAAATGGCGCCAAAACGCATTATGGTACACGATTCGTGTACCAATGGTAAAATGTTTATTTTGTCTTAAATATTGGATATCAGAAGCCCATCTTTTCCCGGTAAGATCACAGCATCAATGTTGATTTTAATTGACAAATAATTCGTGTTTTCAATGTCGAAGACTTTGGATGATATTGAGTTATGTATGTTATTTGTTTAGATTAAAATGTTTTCAGGCCTAATTCAAACAGTAGGCCTACTCTGAAAGCTATATTAGTTTTAATAGGGTCATCCAACGTTATGCATATATTCCGAAAAAACATTTGAGCTCTTGTTGACGTCATATGACGTCAACAATTCTGCAGCTTAAGGGTTAAACTAAAACACAGATAATTTCTATTTAAAAAAAAATGTTTTTAAAAATATTGGGCCTTATTTAGATAAACTTATGCAAAAAAAAGAAAAGCCTTCGGATAAATTTCAGCTATAGTCCCGGGTCAGAACAACGAGAAACAAGCTGAAACTGAAAGTGTCCCTTCAACTTCAATTAGTCTTCTAAGCGGGCCGAGTGATACTGTGGAGCCACCTCAGCTCGTACCAGAAAGCGGCGCGGATAATGTCGATAATCGTATTGGCGGTAATGAAGGACCCATGGGTCACAACGAGCAATGCTTATTCTAAAGCGAACAAGGTCGCCAGTTAGCGGAATGGTAGGTACTTAACCCTATCCACAGAAAAGTTTGAAAAGTATCCATGTGTCAAGTACAATCGTAACGTTAATGGTATTTTGTGCAGTATGTGTACGAGTCATCCTCGGGCAGGTAGCAAATCGCCATTTATATTTGATGAAGATCTGATAGGTTTAACTGGATGCCTGCCAGAAGACGTCAGATTACATCGTTCATGCAACCGATTTTCAAAAATTTTCTCGGGGAAAGGCCTACGCCCCCCCCCCCTCAATTCAGGGGAAAAGACCCCCGCCCATCGGACGTATTGGCGCCCTTGTCTGTAAATGTATTAAAATTTAGGTTACATTAATGCAGATGTGTTAAATGACGTTTTCTGTGTATGCATTTTCAGATTCTGTTAATTGATCTTTAATGCGTAATACCGACTTATACGCATCAACAAGTAAAGTTTTGAAAGTTCTTGCCGGTAGATCCTCATAAATATTTCTGAAATATATTTCTTAAGAGGTTACCACTTCATTAAGCCAATTAATTTGAAAGATTTCTAGTTATAGTAAGAATATCGTGTTCACTAACATTGTACTTTTACAACCTGAAATTTGACTACCGTTTAATTAAATACCAATAAATAAGGGACTGTCTCGCCAACCTGGAGTTCGATGCAGGTGTTGGATTTTTCTGCCTAGTTTTCCCTTGTCGGTACCTAGTCGTTTGGGTTGTACGAAAAATTTACAGCGTATTCATTGGCATACACGTAATCCTTTTGCAGAAATGTAAGGCGTTAAATCTAATTTCATGGATATGTTTGAGTTTATAATAAATACAAACCAATGCACAGAATATATTTTTAACATTGATAATTGTATTATACATTTTTAAAAATATAGTAGTTATCTCCCATGACTTGAATAAACTATATTTTAATAATAAGTCAACCGAAACATGTTCTGAATAATATTCTCACGAGAACGTTGATACAACAGTTATTTCCCCTGCATCAATAATAGCGAGAAAAGATTAAATTCACGCACAACGAAATTATGCTTAAATGAGCTAAATCGCTAATATTTGGGACCTAGAAATTGACACAAATGGGTCGCAACGCATATAATAATGTAATATCAATATATATAAACTGATTTACTTCAATCGTTTCCATTTTTACGCTAATCTCAAATCAGTTATGTTCGGCGATATACAGCAGAAGTCTCAATCGAATGACAATATCTAGTGTCTGGTTATTCCAGTCTACACCGATAGTATTTATTGCGCATGCTCTCTAATCACGTGATTGGCGGATGTTTGTGGTTTATTATTGTTTATGTTTTAAATTACATATTATATGAGGGCGCCAAAACCTTTTAAGTGAGTAGGGCCTCTGTGGGTCTCAATCCGGCACAGAATACGACGTCACCGTTTGACATGACTTGTGGAATATGTCTAGCATCGTTCTTCGAGTCCCTTGTTATAAATGGCGCCAAAACGCATTATGGTACACGATTCGTGTACCAATGGTAAAATGTTTATTTTGTCTTAAATATTGGATATCAGAAGCCCATCTTTTCCCGGTAAGATCACAGCATCAATGTTGATTTTAATTGACAAATAATTCGTGTTTTCAATGTCGAAGACTTTGGATGATATTGAGTTATGTATGTTATTTGTTTAGATTAAAATGTTTTCAGACCTAATTCAAACAGTAGGCCTACTCTGAAAGCTATATTAGTTTTAATAGGGTCATCCAACGTTATGCATATATTCCGAAAAAACATTTGAGCTCTTGTTGACGTCATATGACGTCAACAATTCTGCAGCTTAAGGGTTAAACTAAAACACAGATAATTTCTATTTAAAAAAAAATGTTTTTAAAAATATTGGGCCTTATTTAGATAAACTTATGCAAAAAAAAGAAAAGCCTTCGGATAAATTTCATACTTTATTTGATTTTCAAGACACAATATCCTGGAGCAAAAGACAAAATACAGTATTCAAACCAGACACAATATAGAGTAATATTCAAAAAAGCATAGTGACCCAAAACATATTCATTCAATCAATCAACCCTAAAGAAATTTCTAGACATCTAGTTCCCAGTAAATTATATTGTTTCATGGCGCCATTTTGTATACTGATGTCTGAATGATGACACATTTCTATTCACGATCATCTAGGTTATCCCTGTAAACCCCTGGATGGCATCCTGCGTGTATTGGTGAATTCTCTAGTGCATTCTTTCTCATCCCCTGACCCCATCTGCAAAATCTGTTTTACATTATCCCCACATCAATAGAATGTACTTTAAAGAAGCACTATGTAAGAGCGAAATCTGTCTATTGATGGGCTTTACTTTGGCTTCAAATATTATACAAACTATTATTTAGACATTTATAAACGTGACAAGTCCATAATCTACACTCTAGACCATTGGATTTAAATGGATTTGAACGCCTGTGAGATTTAAAAATGATACAACCGTGGCTGCGATAATTAACTAATCACGCAACATCTTCCGACAATCATAACTTCGCTTAGAATAAAGCATTTTGAAATATATTTATTTTCTATTATCTATTGTTCAAATATTATAGCTAGGCCGACCAGCTCTTTATTTCTTATAAAATGCATCTTAAATCCAGTAGCTTTATTTGCGCAGTATTGGTTATCATCAAAAATAAAATCTTTAATTTTTATCCTTTTTTTTCAGTCTGGAATCTGTATTCTACTTCAAAATGCATCTTAAATGCAATAGCTTTATTTGCGCAGTATTGGTTTTCATCAAAAACAAAATCTTTAATTTTTATCCGTTTTCTTTTCAGTCTGGGATCTGTATTCTACTTGTGAACAGATATATTCCAACTTGAATGTAAACAAATTACAAGATTATAGTTTAGATGTTGTGCTTCAAAAGGAAAAACGTTCGTCCTAGTGACAACACGGCTAGTTTAAAGGTAAGATTACATTTATTTAAAGGTGAGCAATCAGATAGATTGCAACGTTTAAAGTAACGTCACGTGGTATTCTTATTCCTTCAATGGCTACCGTTTCAATCCTTACTTCTGTGTAGTTTTATGGTTGTACCCCTTCATATTTTTTGCTTTTTGAAAAAGAGAATTATGTCATATCTTTGTTTCCATTACGTTCAAAGCTACATTCGTATATCTACCACACACGTATAATGTTATCTGCCCTATTGCATCCATTGTTGTGAACTTTACATTTTACCACATCGTCATCTCCACAAATTGAATAGTTAACGTTGTTTTTTTTTAATCAAGGTAGTAACATTGAAATATATTGTTTACACAAAACCGACCATGTGTACACTAGAATAATACTATATTTAGTAAATATTTTTCATTTTGTTTCGATTTGTGTTTGTGGGTGCCTTCTTTGTTGTGAGTGCCTCCTTTGTTGTGAGTTTGGTCTTTTTTCATTTTGAGCGGAACCTGTGCCATTACAGGCACGGGACTATGCAGCGCAGTGGATGCTTAAAGTCGCGCCTGGTCCCTGTAGTTGATTTTATAATACTATTTATTTATTATTATGTATTACTTACCGTGTCCAAGTCTGATGTGCTTTGTCCGCAGGTTTGTCTTTCGGGTTTCTGATTTTGACTATATAATGCGATTTTCCTGAACTTACTTTTTGTGATCGAGATATCAATGTTTGACTGTGGTGTATACATGACTAAGTATAGTATAGTATACGTTTAAAGTTTGTTAGAGAAACATGCATAAAGTAGAATCAGGTATTTCAAATAGAATAATCATACTCTGATTTGTGAAATGAAATGTGGTTTAACGTCTCACTTTTCTGCTCCGACTGGGCGAATGAAGACGGGGATACGCCGTGTCGCGTTCTATGAAATTTTTGTCTTACCATATTGTTACCTGTTTTGTCGTAATTAATAATGAGGTGTATAAAATCCCAGAAAAACTCTTATCACGTGATTGGCGTTTGTTTGTGTGGTTTATTATTGTTTATATTTTAAATTACATTAGGGCACCAAAACCTTTTAAGTTATTACGGCCTCTGTGGATCTTAAACCGGCACCGAGTGTAGGTATCCTCGCTTTACAATAGAATGTTTTTGTCTGCGATATCACTCGGGTGGACGCAGACGTTAAATAAAGCTATTTCGCACACACTAGCATGTTTGTCTGCGATATTACCCTAGGTGGAAGTGAACGTTTAACCCCAGGAACGAACGAACCAACAGCATGCCTTGTCTGCGATATCACCCAAGGTGGAAGCGGACGTAATACTCTACGAACGAACCGACGACATGCTCACCAGCCATTTTTTGCGAGATGTACAAGTTTTAGCGTAGACGATAAATGCGAACTTTAATTGTTTACCCCGTAAATTTGTGATTGAGAATTTTATTGCATGTGCATGGGAAAGCAATGACCGAAAAGCTGTTTATCGTAAAGTACCAACTAAGTTTCTAGTTTTGGCCAATATTGAGAATTAAATTCGAATCGATTGCTTTGATCTCGGGGTTATCTGTAATATACCAGATTATTCACATACCTCAAACGTCAACTTTAATGTACTTTATTTAATGTTTCATAATGTTTGGGTTTTTTAAATTTTAATTCGAGTATTAAAAACTTCGAAGAGAATAGGATGGCTTGTCCGAAAATGATAGCAGAATTATTATTACATTTTTTATCTAAGGCACATAAATATGGCGAAGTTTAATCACCGAAACCTTAAAAAATTGTCACAACTGAAGTCAGAATATCGATCTGAATAGTTTTTGAACCCAAAGATTTTATTCAGAAAAATGCTTTAATCTTTAATCCTCCGGGGGGTATATAAAATGTATATACCACATAATCTAAATCGAACGTCTACATATCTGTGAATGAAATTAAACATTTTTGTAACACTCCACTGTTTCGGTTACTATGGGCTATAGTTTCATGACAACAATACCCTGGCTAAATTTAATACTTAGCAAATTGTTTAAGTGACATTTAGTAACTGGATGAGAATAACACATGGCCCAATTATATGGAATACAAATTACTTAAAATTTTATTTATGACGACGTTTCGTCTAGGGTCCCCTCGTCTTTATAATACATCGCCAGTAATAAACTTTTAAATAACTTGTATTCCTTATAATTGGGCCATGTGTCATCAACACTGAGCAACTTAAATGCGCAGACTAAGTACATGTAAAGTATGTGTTATGGATCAACAAAATGATCTCACAAATCTGAAATGATCGAATTGTATAGTCAAACCACGGAAAATCGGACAGTGCACGTTTTATTCTGGGTTTTGTCAGAATATCCTTACGGTGTATAAGTATATAGTTTACTGAAAGCCCAGTTTTTATTGGAAAGCAGATTGTGACGTAATTGATTTCGTATTGCTGGGTGTGTCAATTACTTTCGTTTGTGTTGTCGCAATGTCATCTTGGTCGAGCTGACAAATGTCATGACCCCAGGACATGCCCTCTTTGATTGTGTGTGAGAAATCAATTAGATTATCTGATCAAAATTATTAAGGCCCGTAGGTTACGGATAATCCCCTACCCACACCCGACATACGCTCGTAATTATCATACGTTGTACTTGAAATTACTGTATCATTGTAATCTGTTGTATACATTATATAATCTTCAGAGATGAAAAAAACCAAAGATATTATATATAATCACCTAGACAAATAAAGTAGGCTCATATCCTAGACAAACTTAAATAGAAGGATGTGAGAGGAATATCTCTTTCAAGCTGGGAAAATATTCAATTATATTCTACAACACATTCAATCAAATACTTTTCTTTATTAAGACATAAGGAGGATAATGGAATACTTTAATGTTTTCTTTAATCACGTCAGCATGATCATGATGTATTAGTAAACCCCTTACTTTTCATCTGGCCTCATCCCCGTTAATTATAATAGCTTTGTGGAAAGATTTACACAGATATCTTTTTATTACCTAGGTGTTAATTTCACACCGAATTAGCGCAAAGACATTCAAGAGAGATGTGCAGATTAGTTATTTTAGAATAGCATGCGGACCTGAATCGTCCTCGGTGGTTTCCAATCGATAAACTTTTATTCTATAGCCAAATAGGCATTAAGATTGGAATAGCTTAGGCGATGTATGTCTCGATGACATTAAGGAGTAATCAGTTTACCAGCTCATATAGAAATGGCTACATATGGCCGAGCACTGAATTCTGATTGGCACTTTATATTTGGCAAGAAATCTATGAAGGTCTGGGAGATATCATTCATTGAGATTGCCAAAGACGTACTTAAATCGGCGCAGAAACGCGAGTTCTTAAATTGCAAAATAATTTCTATAAAGAAATCAAAATAGGTTGCTGCCGTGTGTAACGTGGTTTGATTACTGGAGTTTAATTCTGTAGTTTTGAAATTTAAAGGTACTAAAATATTATAGAAAGATTAAACAGTGCAGTAATTTTGTGATGTGACTAAACCTTTGACAGTGCAGCAGTTTTGAAATGTGACTATACCCTGGACAGTGCAGTAGTTTTATAATGTAACTAAACCATGGGCAGGGCAGTAGCTTTGTAATGTGATTAAACCTGAGGCAGTACAGTAGTTTTTAATTTGACTAAACCTTGCACGGATTAAACCGTTTCATCTGCTACGGTTGCCATAACGATGATCAAAAGGGCTCATTATCAATCATGTATGGAATTTGGTAGTTTAGAGGTAAGCAAAGGGTATATTATTATTAAATTGGTGTTGATTCTGTTGTTATTAATATGTGCATTATTCTTTAGTTTCTCCGTGTTTTAAAAAAAGATATTTGGCCTTAAAGCCGTGTTCAATGTAATAATTCACTAAACGTCCAAAACGGAAATTGTTAGCTAGCAATGTCTTAAATAGAATGTAATAGTATAATATATGCAGGTTCTATATCGTCATTACAATCTGAACGCACTCTTCAGGAACAATTTGTCGATGTGTGTATATAAGCTTCATTGTCTGGTCGGGGGTTGGATGGCCGAATAGTTAGCACGTGCGCGCTGTATCATAAGGCCTGTCATTGAGGTAACTGGCGTGGTTTCGAATCCCCGATTGTACATGACAAGGAGTAGAGTCGCCTGTCCAACCTCGTGGGGTTTCTCCGGGTCCCCCTGTTCCTCCCACTGCCAAAGATCCCTATGCGCAAGCGAATTATTGAAATGAAATTAAAGCATATGTTAGTCCCGAAATGACCTAGTTTGTGTCGAGTGGACGTTAAACTCCATCTCTCTCTCTCTCTCTCTCTCTCTCTCTCTCTCTCTCTCGTTAAATAGAGCTTATTTTCTAACTGTATAGGGGATGCCCGACTGTCAGTTCGGATCATTCCGAATTGTTAAATTATTTACATTCGAGTGATACAGTCCTGTCACAGTTCTGTCAGTCCCGAGAACGGAGAAGGTGTGAGTAGAATCGTGACGTAATTAAACACTACAAATATGTTTCAGCTGTCATGAATTGGTAAGATATTTCGGCGCATGTGTTATAGCCCGAAATCCCCCTTTCACTCGATTGTTAATATTTTTGGGATTGAGAGAATTCAATTCCTGGACGTTCACGTGATTATCCCACCCGTAAAAATAACGCCGACTATCAGGCCATATTTGTTTTCAAACCTTGCTGGCGTAATTATTTATGCAATTAAATCTGTTGCCAAAAATACGGGCTAACTTTATTTAAAAAAAAAATCATTGTTTCCATTGCACAAGACAGGCTAGAATCGAAAATAAGGTTAATCAAATACGGCAATGTACCTTTAATGCGTGGATATTTTCTGTAATGAAACAAAGTGAAGATTGGTATAGTAACCCGGAAATTAGCAATCGACCCCTTTACACAAAGCAACTAATCAACGTGTCCGAACTGTTCACACCCGGTTAACAAGTTTTGCTCTAGTTCCTTCCTAATTAACATCATTGCCTACAATCGCTG